TTGTACGTTTTTATAAGTGAAAGAAACTGCTCTTTTCTTTCTTTTTAAAAAATACATTTTCTCACATTTTGTGTGGCAGAGACATTAGCTGTGCTTAACTATGGCACTTAATAAAACTCATTGATGTGCACTGGTTTTCACTGTTAAACTCAAGGATATTCTGCCTCCTGTCCCAGTACTGAGCAGGGAATTTGCCTCCTTTGTAGATTTTTATATTGATGTATGTGAAATGTTTCGCTCTTTGTCTCTTTTTTAATGCTTGAATCTTGTGGCATGAGAAATCATAAAAGAGACCAGCACTGCACACTGTCATGCATCATGTTATCAGTATTAGGGTAGATTTTGCAATTCTCATGTCATACATGTTTAATTTACTAATGCAAATTGGGAATAAATCTGTTCATCATTTTTAAAATATTTTGGCCAAATGGGAATGTGTTAAAATTAAAGATATAAATACTGGACTGGGATTTAGCCAATAAAGACAAAGTGAGCCCCTATGGTCCTTTATTTACCTCTCAATTACCATTACACATGTTCTGTTTTACTTAGAAACCAATCACTGCCTCACGACTGCAACCAGTCATTCAAATATAACTTGTGAATGTGTTGCATTTAAAAATCTATTGCACAGGACCCTAAGATCAGGCACAAATTCAAGCCTCGCTGTTAATTCAAATGAATTAAGTGCCACTTAAACACCTGTGGAGCATTGACATTTTGGGAATGTTTGGTAATGAATTATTTTTAAAGAATTCAATTAATCTGACATATGACGGTGCCACGAAGCAACCTGAATGGAAAAAGAGAAAGCTGACGTTGCATAGCCTCAAAGAATCCAGTCTATTAACAGCTGAATGCTGTAATATTGATCTTTAACACCCCTGAAGAAACAGGTGCTATGGTTACACATGGTCCTCTCTTGACTCCCTCTCTTGAAGATAAAAAGAAGTAGTTACAGTATATAAGTATATTACTTTATCTTAAAATATGCATATTTATAGAAATTTAGTTGCATGGCAAACAAAAAACCCCCTTAATAATAGTTGTTTTTTTAAAATGTGGAAAGTATTCACTCATCTGCCTTCAAATTTGAATTTCAGTGACATCCCATTTTTAATCCATAGGGTTTGAATATGATGTTGGCCCACCCTTTGCAGCTATTACAGCTTCAACTCTTCTGGAAAGGCTTTCCACAAAGTTCAGGAGTGTTAATGGGACTTTTTGAACAATCTTAAAGAAGTGTATTTGTGAGGTCAGATACTGAGAAGCCTTGGCTAATTTACCCCTATTGGGTTGAGGCCATGGCTCTGTGCAGGCCAAAGTTATCCACTTATCCATGTCTTTGTGGACGCTGGTGCACAGTCATGTTGGAACAAATCAAATCAAATCAAATCACTTTTTATTGTCACATCACATGTGCAGGCACACTGGCACAGCACATGCGAGTGAAATTCTTGTGTGCGAGCCCCACAAGCAACAGAGATGTGCAAACACAACAACACAAACGAGCAAAATACAAGAATGGCCAACCTGAAACTAATAAATATATGTACAATATATAATAGTGTATGCATTTCTGGATGTGTATACTAAATATTTTCCTACGTGTGTGTGTGTGTGTGTGTGTGTGTGTGTGTGTGTGTGTGTGTGTGTGTGTGTATACACATTTTTACAAATTAAATAGTAAAAAAATAAAATAATAATAATAATAAAATATATAAAATATACAGAGTTGAATATGTGCAAAACAAGTGGCATTTATATACAGTGTGGAGTGCATAATGTTGAAGTTCCAGTAGTGAAGCTGAGGTGTCTATGACGTGTTCAGCAGTCTGATGGCCTGATGGAAAAAGCTGTCTCTCAGTCTGCTGGTACAGGACCGGATGCTGCAGAACCTCCTTCCTGATGGAAGCAGTCTGAACAGTTTATGGCTGGGGTGACTGGAGTCCTTGATGATCCTCCCCGCTTTCCTCAGGCAGCGCTTCCTGTAGATGTCTTGGAGGGAGGGAAGCTCACCTCCAATTATCCGTTCAGAGCACCGCACTACTCGCTGGAGAGCTTTGCAGTTGTAGGCGGTGCTGTTGCCGTACCAGGTGGTGATGCATCCAGTGAGGATGCTCTCAATGGCACAGCGATAGAAGGTCCTGAGGATGCGGGGGCTCATGCCGAATCTTTTCAGTCTCCTGAGAAAGAAGAGGCGCTGCTGCGCCTTCTTCACTGTTTTGTTTGTGTGTACTGACCACGTAAGATCCTCAGCCAGATGTACGCCAAGGAACCGGAAGCTGCTCACTCTCTCCACAGCAGCGCCGTTGATGGTGATGGGGGTGTGTACTTCTCTGCACCTCCGGAAGTCCACTATCAACTCCTTTGTCTCTGCGACGTTGAGGGTGAGATGGTTGTCTTGACACCAGTGGGTCAGGGCGCTGACCTCCTCCCTGTAAGCCGTCTCATCACCGTTGGTGATAAGACCCACCACTGTAGTGTCGTCCGCAAACTTCACAATGATGTTGGAGCTGTTAGTGGCTGTGCAGTCGTAGGTGTAGAGTGAGTACAGGAGAGGGCTCAGTACACACCCCTGTGGAGCACCAGTGTTCAGTGTGATGGGGGATGAGGTGATGCTGCCCAGTCTGACCACCTGGCGTCTGTCAGACAGGAAGCTAAGGATCCAGCTGCAGAGGGAGCTGCTCAGTCCTAGATCCTGCAGTTTCCTGTCCAGCTTCGAGGGAACGATGGTATTGAATGCTGAGCTGTAATCTACAAACAGCATCCTCACATACGTGTCTCTCTTCTCCAGGTGTGACAGGGCAGTATGTAGTGTCAGGGCTATGGCATCATCAGTGGACCTGTTGTGGCGGTATGCGAACTGTAGAGGGTCCAGTGAGTCGGGTAGTGCAGAGCAGATGAAGTCCCTGACCAGCTTCTCGAAGCATTTGCTTACGATGGGGGTCAGGGCTACAGGTCGCCAGTCGTTCAATGAGGAGATGGTGGAGGATTTGGGTACAGGGACGATGGTGGCCATTTTGAAGCAGGCTGGGACTACAGACAGAGAGAGGGAAAGGTTGAAGATGTGCGTGAACACTCCAGCCAGCTGAGCCGCGCATGACTTGAGGACGCGGCCGGGAATCCCGTCCGGACCAGTAGCTTTGCGTGCGTTCACCTTCCTGAAGCACTTCCGCACATCCTCCTCAGACACAGTGTGCGCACTGACGTCATCCGCGGTGCGCACACTGTCCGGTCTCATGGTGTTCGCTGTGTCGAATCTAGCGTAGAATACGTTTAGATCCTCACACAGAGAGGCCGTGGTCTGCGGTGTGCTGGGTTTCCCTCTAAAGTCTGTGATCGTGTTTAGTCCCTGCCACATACTCCGAGGGTTGTCAAACTGTTGTTCCACCGTTGTTCCAGGAAGGAAGAACAGGAAGGTGCCATCCCCAAACTGTTCCTACGTAATTGAGAGCATGAAATTGTCTATGATGGTGATGTAAGGCTTGAATGCAGCTGTTCAGCCATGGAAGCCCATGAAGCTCTCTACACACTGTTCATGAACTAATCTAAAGGCTACATGAAGTCTGGAGGTCTGTCGTGATCGACTGCACACTAAGTGCCTAAGCATCTGTTGACCTCACTCTCCTCGTGGAGTTGCTGTTGTTTCCAGTCGCTTCCTCTTTTTATAATACCACTAACAGTGACTGTGGAATATTCAGTATAGAGGAAATTTCATGAGTGGACTTGTTGCACAGGAGGTATCATGTCACGGTACCATGCTGGAAGCTCCTGAGAGCGACCCATTCTTTCACAAATGTGTATAGAAACAGTCTGCATGCATAGTTACTTGATTTTATACACGTGTGGCTGTGGCAGTGATTGAAACACCTGAATTCAATGATTTGAATGGGTGAGTGAATACTTTTGGCGGTATAGTGTATATGGATTTATAAAAGGTAAAAATAAATAGCAACACAATGACAAAATATTAAAATAACAAGATTAAACCTGACTAATCTTTAAGTGGAGGCCACTATAAGAAGTCTCAGTTTAACATGAAACATCAGCATTACATAAATAACAGGCTCTCTGTTGATTGGTCAGTCAGTCTGGGTCATATGACTGGCTGGCATATGATCCAGCTTAAGTGATTTAGCATCTTTTCACACCTTCTTGTATCACCTAGTCGAATCCCATGCAATGTCTTAGTAAGAAGGCTTTCTGTTTCACCTGCACCCAAACACCCGAGTCTTTTGCACCTCCTGCCTTTTAAGGACACTGTGAATTATAATACAATACAACTTTATTTGTTTATTTATACAGCAATAAAAGGGAATATAAGAACAAAGTTACTAAGAACAGATATAGCTAAAAGATGAAGTACATAAATAAGAAATTGAACCAAATATAAAATAGGGACACTAACTACAGTAGATGGAAAAGCTATGTTGAATAAATGAGTTTTTAAACAGGATTTAAAAGATAAAACGGAGTCTGACGCACGCAACAAAACATCAACTATTCTCTTGTTGATGTTTTGTTTCACTTCAGAACTAAAGCATTAAATATAAACCTCAAGCTGAAGTATATTTAATCCCCTGCTGAATTTCTATGTTTGCTCACTTAGAAAAAAAAGTCTAATTTTTACGGTAGTTTGATCTTAATGGAGCGAAACAGAATATCAGCACAAATCCAGAAAAAATACATAAATGTATACATTTATTTGCATCATTACAGGTGGGTTTAGATGTCTGCAAATATTTGTTCCTGCACAGTTTGTTATTGCAAAATTTGGATTCTAATATGATTTGTATAGCACTGCTCCATGGTGAATGGGATTTTTTAAATGTGCATTTTAAATTAAAAAACAAAACAAAAAACGTCATACTATCACTTAGATATTTATCTGAAGTTATCTGGGAGTTTTAAATCTTGCTTTTAACTTGATGTTAGACAACGTTTGTATGATGTGTCACTGTGGTAACATATGGTAGTTGTCTAGTAGTAAGCGGTCCCTTTTATGGGAGGGGTGGTAAGAGGAAGGACAATGCAGCGCTGTGGATCCGATATCTGTGTTTCCACAGCAACAGATATTAAATTACGACGGGTGTTGGACTTTAAACAGAGGTGGAGGGACAGGTGACGCAGGCTTCAGTAAACTGTCTTCTTCCTGAACAGAAACGCAGCAGTCTCAGACATGGTAAGAAATTCCATTTTCCATTGAGCCATTTTGTGTATTTTCTTACACAACAGACCATTTTTCTGTATTTACCTAACAAGTGACGCCACACTATTGTCACCTTGCAGGCTAAATTCCTCTCACAAGCTCAGATCAATGGTAAGATTCATCTACAGGTGCATGTTGTCAATCACTGTTTCACTCTGTTACTGATGTTTGAAATTATTTATTTGTACAAAACAACCAAACTCTCTTCTTTTTTAGTCTAATTAATTCCTGTTTACCGAAGATTTACTGTGAAAGCTCCTCACTAATTACAACAAGGGGGGAAAAAAAGTACTGTCATTCAAAAACTTTGTTTTCCCCACTGCAGAGTACAAAGAGTGCTTCTCATTGTATGACAAGAATCAAAACGGCAAGATAAATAACAATGACCTGATCACAGTTATGCGCTGCCTGGGTACAAGCCCCACACCTGGTGAAATCAGGAGACATCTACAAGTCCACAAAATTGGTAAACTATAACATGCAGTAAATCAAAGTCTTTTTGTCTTTGAATAACAGCTTGTTGTGGGTGTAGCATAAGGGACAAGTCTGAGAGGTGACGTTTAAATGACAGTAATTTCAAATTGCACTGACAGTCTTTACTACTACCGTTGAAGCATAAACTGGTGTTTGTGCTTTAAAATTCGTGGTTTTGTACATTTTTCTTACAGCCTTCTTAATGTGTGCTACATACAGTATAACACTATATATCCTTAAGAAATGCAGGGAAAAGACAGCAAATAAAAATAACAAAGGGCCTAAAGAAGTACAAGAGCAAAGGGCATTTTCTTTTTAAACTTACATTAATCATCAAGTCAAGGTTAAATAAAATGTACCACCTGATTTCACATTTGTGTTTAGAAAAGTCTGCTGAGGTGGAGTTCTCTACGTTCCTGTCAATAATGCACAGACAGATGCAACAGGAGGATCCCAAAGTGGAAATCCTGGAGGCCTTGAAGATGACGGACAAGCAGAAGAAGGGATACATCGAGGCATCTGAGCTGCGGGCCAAGCTCACCATGTTAGGAGAGAAACTCACAAACAAAGAAGGTAGAGCAAGTGAGGTTTCTAATTAATGAGATGTTACGTTTTTACCGGCCTACAGCTGAGCCTTTTTACTGAGACCTCGCAACAATACTGCCAATATTAGATGATTACGTAGTGTTTCATAATCCAAAGTGAGTCTTAAGGTCTCTAATAAATATCTTGAGGACGTTTCGATCTGAGCTCAAATAGCTGAGCTTGTAGGGCATTGCACGACAGGAAGGACACCACTATGGTCTGTCTCTCCACAAAGTTTGTGAAATTCATTTTGGTAGTTTTAATCCTGCTCACAGGAAGATGCAAAGAGATGCACCTCTCACCTTTGCAGAGAAATAACCAATAAACCATTTCCATATTTCTATAAGTACAAAGAACTTATTCTTTGCTTCAGTATCGAACATCGAAACACCAATAAACCACCATTTATCTGAATACTTTATGACTGCAGTAAATATCAAATGTTGAATCAGGAGAAAAAAATGAATTTATAATGAACTCTGAACCTGATAGTTTTCCACAGTTGATTTCTTTAATGATACACGTGTTCTGCATCTTGACACAGTAACTGATCCACCCCTCAAAAAGTGACTAATCGCAGGAAGTTTGTCTTTAGAGCTGAGCTCAGAATCTCGTAGGTAATTACAATAGTTTCTCTCCTGGTATTTACTCCGTGGCTCCTAAAGGCCACTCCCTCCTTCCTGTCAGGAAATGCATTTGCTGTTGTGTTGCATGCTGATTAAGCGACAATTCGTTTTCCCATCAGAGAGATATTGTGTGAAATATTTCACTAACACTACCCGACAGAATATTATGAATACTAGTAAAGCCCTAGCAATAGCAATGTCAACAAAGACATATGTTGAGGACTATTTATAAGCTTTGTTCTCTGAAGGGGTTACAGCACAGAGGTGTGTAACATCATCTGTGACCTCTATAGAATTTTTTTTTCAACCTTGAAATCATAGCTGAAGTCAAACCCTGGCAGATGTCTGACCGTACAGGTCAATCCAACAGGGGGCACAAGTTTTGTGACACCAGGGGGACGGACTGGGCGACACCACCTTTGTACTGAACTTGTTCCCCTGACAAGCTGCTGAATAGTTGATCCTCAGGCTTTGTTTTAATTTCCACAAAAAGCTAAAATCTGTGACTGATTGGCATATGATGCAGCTTAAGTGATTTAGCGTCACAACTTTTTGTATCGCCTAATTAAATCACAGACAATGTCTTACTTAGTAAGAAGGCTTTTTATTTTTGCCTGCACCCAAGCACCGGAGTCCCTTGCACTTCCTGTCATTTAAGGACACTGTGAATTCTCTTGTTGATGTTTTGTTTCACTTCAGATGTAAAGCGTTAAATATGAACCTCAAGCTGAGAGTTTTAATGGAAGGACTCCTGCTGGGATTCGGATATCTGGTTAAATCTCCAGGGTGGATTTTTAAGTTTTTCAAAGCCACCTCATTCACACAGTGACGGGTCTCAGAGCAACATAAGCTGTATTTCAAAGTCTGTGGATGGGTTCTGTGTACATTAAGCTGTTTATAGTTAAATGAAGCTCAAAAGGCTTCTCAGTGGGGAGACATTTATCAAGTTTTAGGATTCCCGAACTGCTGAAGAAGATAGTAATGCCAATTTCCTAAAAGAAGAGACAACAGACAACCATTTTGAGTATTCAGGACATTTTCAAGACATGAAAAAGTACTGGAATGAAAATCTTTAACTACACTTTTGTAGTTAAGTCAACAAGGGTCCATGGTGTATGATATGAAGAGACATAAACCCTTAGGAAACTAGTATGAGTACAGCTCACAGATAAATACTGGAAGGGAATATTTGTGACTGAAATATAATGTGTTGTGTTGCAAAATATTATTTTCAGTCAATATTGTTTTTCTTTATTTCATCCCTGTTAAATATCTCACAATAGCAACAGCAATAACACTAATTATAACCATAATTTATGGTGCGATTTGGCTGCTTATCCACTTATGCTCTTATGTTTTCTCCATCTTCCTCGTGTAGTGGACGACCTCTTCAGAGAGGCACACATCAAGTCAAATGGGATCGTCAAATACGAAGAGTTCACAGCGATGCTGACGCTGCCACCTGTTGATTACTGATTTTTAAAAAAAGAAAACAACTACGTCAAACGTCAGGACAACAAGCTACGTTGGAAAACTGACTCTGAATATCAAGAAGGTGACATCATAGTCACATTTTGCACATGAAGTTCGGTTGTATTAAATTTGCCTGTTGGTACAGCAAAAGTTTTTCACAATGATTATTTCTTGAATATTTTATGATTAATACACAATACTTTAATTTCTTTCCATAACTCTCCTTTGTAACTGAACACTACACAGTACGTGTTAGCATGTGACCCTGGTGTAAAGCCATTAGATCCTCAGCGCCATAGCTGACCACGCTTCACCCAATTAAATCCTATCCCTTGGGTGTTAATATTGACTAGTGAGTATGTACCAATCTCATCTTTTATGAGAGTTTCAAGTGTTCACATGTTGTTGTTCAACAAGCTTGTATGTAAAAGTTGTGGAATTTGAAAGAAAATAAACTGTAATTCCTGCTGGTATTTAGAAACTCTGACAGCTCCAATTTCTCTGTCCTCTCAAATCTTGCATGCATAAATAACTGCCTCACATTTGACATTTATTAAAATTCTATTTAAATAAGTGACATCTCATATTTATATTTCCTTTTATTAAGGGCTACAGCCATAAAATCTTTGTGTTTCACACGTTTTAATTAGTAGCGTTTAGCACAGTGTAGCACTATGCATACTTAATGACAAAACACTCACAGACTAATTCAATGAATGCCATTTTCTCCACATTTATTGTATGGGCTAAACTTTAATGGTTCATTAAAGTTAATTATACCACGGTGTAAGTGCTGTGAAAAGATGCTACTTAACAATCTGATTGCTTCAGTGTGAACGTGTTTAATGACTACTACACATGTGGCATTATGTCCATTCAACATAAGTGGTCGATCTTATGATTGGAAACCAACAATTTCATTAAATGTACAGAGATGAATCTTTAAAAATAAAACAAAGTACAGGAATAAATCACTAACAAACTAAAAAAAACAAAAAAACAATAAAAAACAACTATGCAACTAAACGTGGCAGGTATGTAAAGTTCTTTATTCATCTAAATTGTCTGTAAATATAAAGGTTGTACATGTCGAAGTACTGGCTTGTTTTTGCCTTCAAAAATAAGAAGAACTACTAATGAGAATAAATGAGCAAAGGTGTGAAAAACAGAACATTTTATCTTAGTGGTAACAGCAAGGCTGATATCAAACATATATTAGTAAAGTCTGAGTTTCATGCAAGTGTACCCTGAGCTCACCTGTGCCTTCCCTGTTATGACATATCAAAATGTTGTAAAAATACTATGTCTGCTCCAAGATAAACAACTACCATTAGCATGCCCAAATACTACCTAAAGTAGGCCAGGCATAATATCCATTACTTTGAGTTGCGATATAAATAACCCTGGTCTCTAGGCCTAATGTTTCAGTGGTGTTAATTGGCCCCAAATGCTTCTATGTCAGTGCTTAGTGGTTTTGTCCCATCCTTTACTGGAATCAGACAGATTAGAGTCCTCATCCATTAGCCTGTTGTTTGGTAAAAAATGAAACATGCTCCCTTCTACACACATCAATAACCACCTGGCAGGTTTACCATCTAGGCTTCATTCGTCATGGTTATATCTTAAATTTATCTTAAATGTCACAGTCCTTGGCTCTTTGTCATGATCCGGGCAAAGACTTTTCCCTATACAAAGTTAGGAGAAAAATCATTACATGTGTAATCCAGCAGCATGCTTCAGAGGTATTTCAATGGCCTTTGCAGTTACCAAAATTTGGTAACTGCAAAAGTAATTTACGAGTTCTTTCATTTCCCAAGAAGCTGCTGCTTTGAACCACAAGTGAGTCCAGCATTAATCTCGTTGATAGTCGCACAAAACACCAAAACGTTTACATGTTTACTTGATATCAAGTTGGTAAATCTGCCACTGCATACATGTTAATGCTACAGTACTGTGCAAAATTCTCAAGCAACGCCTCATTTCTTTATATTTTGTTAGGAAAATAGGACGTAGGTGCAGCAAACACATGGAAATACAGTATATAAGGCAAAGCCAGTCTGTACCTGTACTCTTGTACAATTAATACATTTTATATTTGGTATGAGCACCTTTATTCTTCAACTGAACTCTTAGGCAAGCTTCCTTCTCATTTCTTTAAGTAGTCTTCTAAGAATAGTTCTCCAGGCTTCTTGAAGGACATTCAAATCTCTTCCTTTTTTGTTCCATTCTGTCAAAAATCATCCCTCACTACACTAAAACTACACTACAAGAAAGTTTAGGTGTTTGGAAGCAAATTTTAAAAGGATGAGGGGTAGATCGAGACATTTGCACAGTGGTGTGCAATAACATTAAAAATGTGTCAAACAGAGCAACAAGCAACTAAAAAGCCAGGGGTACACAATAATCCTCTGTAATTGTAAAGTCATCATACATTCTGATGATGTATGAATCTTTGATAATAACAAATATATAAAAACTTGGCATTCACTGGACAGAATTTTAGGTATTACAATTCTTTTCAGCTACACTACATACATATGTAATTTGGTCTTTTTATTGTGATTTTTGACAAAAGGATATAGATATGTGGTGATTTTTCCCCTTTACTCCTTATCATCACTTGTTTAATAGCTTTACAGAAGCTTGCTTATTCGTTTTTAATCATTAGATATGTAAGACCATATATGACGGCACTGAACTGAGAAATCTGAGTTACTTTCCAGTTTCTGAAGAAAGTTTTTAATGAATATGTAATTATCATGAATTCTCATAACAGAACATGGCAATAATTAAACACCTAGAAAAGTATAAAATACCACATATTACTGATTCTTCCACTAATTTACCCTTCTGAATCTATTGTATTATGATGTGCTATGTTATCTTAATTTCCCTCCATTCGACCATTATTTTAATCAAGAGTTATTGTTGACATCAAATGATCCAGTACTCAAGAAGTTAAGGCACTGGGCCTGCCAATACCTGACACAATGTTTTTTTTTGGCTATGTGGCCTCAAGCACCAGGTATTGACTGCAGCTTTTCCTTTTGAAATTTACATTTTACTTTGTAACTTTAAAGTCACAAAGTAAAAGTTTGCTTAAACTGTCCCTCGAAGCGATTACAGTATAATAATCACAGCATAAAACCTAAGCTTCACATCTCTGCTTGCTTGTCAAAATTTGGAAGAGTATTTGCTATCTTGGAACCAAAGGTGACCCTATTTGAACAGTAGGAACACTATGTTTGCAGGTAAAGCTAGCTAGCTCGATTAGCGTAGTGTATCCATAGCTTGGATAACATATAAACAAAATTCTTCGATTTAGTTTAATAAACTGCAGCAGAGACTTCATGTGGGCAAGTTGCTAATTAAATAAAGCCATGCACCGCCATCTGATTATTTATTTTCCACAAAATTTTCACAATAAAGGCTCGATATCCTTTTGAGACTTTCCAAAATAAAAAAGGAAATAAATACAAATTGCGCTTGCAAATTCTGTCAGTGCAGCAACTGTTTCTCTGTGCTGACAGAGGGAGAGCATTTTTTGGTAAAGGTCATTATAAATAGAATTTCAGAGACTAGCTTTAACTTTTTATTGAAATCATTTTTCATGTTCGCATGTGTAAACATTACTGGGTTGCACACATCTCCTAGCCACAACACAGCCACATTCAACATGTCTAAATCCAGAAGTAGCTCCTTCAGTCTTTTCTGGACAACACTGATCAGTTATGAACGGCTGATCTGAATAAACTGGCAGATGTGTCGAGTTCCTCTGTTATCAGGGTCATGTCTGTGGGCTTTTTATCAAAGGCAGCAACTGCTATAATGAATGGTTTATTGCTTATAAGGAGAGCATTTAATGTTACCAGTCTTTGACATTTTTTTAATCTTGATTTTAAGTGCTTTTCAAAGGTGTTTAGACACATTCTGTTTTCAGTAAACTCTCTTAATCAACTAAATTCATCATGCTTCAGAAGAGAAGTGCCAAAAACACAAGCACAGGTCTTTGGTAAGCCATCTTTTTTCATGACCTTCAGGATTTTCCCACCTATTTGTCTTCTTCCTATCCACAGAAAAACTGAAGGCTAATATGCATTCTCTTGTTTCCATTTAACTGAAAACCACAATCAAATGCAGATTTTGTGATGTAACCAAAACTACCAGTTGCAAGATAAATGCAGAGAGTGGGGGCGTGGTCACTAAACAACGGTGGCCTTCATAAGTCATGATAAATGTTAAAGGTGTAGGATTTGAAAAGAATGAAAATATTTCTGAATTTTTAACAGCCTGCATTGGTAGGAGAGCACATTTATAGCATGTCTAAACCTGAGAGCCAAAACACCCACAAAAAATTAGAAATATAGCTGGTTAAAATAAACTGAAATCACACTTTAAGGGACAGGGCTCTGCAAACAGTCAGTTATTTGTTACTTAGAAAATATGCACCACTTATTTTTTCTTTATGACATCTGTACCACTTCATGCTGTATGTAAAACCACAGTGAGAGCTATATCCTGTCGGTTCTAACGTGTACAGTCTCCGTTGCTGTCCAAAAAATTAAAGCACTGTACCAGCCATAAAGCTACAATAAATGAGTGGTTTGTCTATCCGGTTGTTCAGTCTGACGTCACTAGCCGTGTCTGGGTCTAAACTCCGCTGCAGGTCCATATATCAAACGATCACCATGGCATTACTGAGAGTTGAAAAACTGTCTAAAGTCTTTCATCTGTAATAAAATGATCAGCGTTCTGCTCTACCAGGTGTAACAATTGAGTATAACATCCAGGCATCCATGAAAACGGAATTTATGACATTTAACGGAGTTAGAAGTTAGCAGGGAGTTAGCTCGCTAGCTTCTATCTAAATACAATATAGCATGTCCTGACTGCGGGGTTTTGGAAACAAATTAAAACGTACAGCTCTGTTATCACTTCCAACATAAATGAAGACAGAAAACTAAACAGCAGTGACGTTTGTAGGGCTACTGAAGTTTGGCTAGCTGGTATATAATGATGTGCTACGTGACCGCTAGCGACACAGCTATGTTAGCATAATATAAACAAGCTAACTTTTTTTCCACTCGATAAAAGTTAATGTGAGTGTTCTCGGTGGTCAGGAACAAATGTAATCGCATGGCAGGATGCTGTAAAAGGACCAAACTTCAGCCAGGAGAACAACTGAGATAATCCATCCACAATACGAGGTTAGTCATTCATATACTGCTGCATGGGCTGGGCTGTAGTTACATCCTAAGGTTTTAAAAACTGAGCTTAAATAAATGATTAGTGGTAATAAAAGCCGAGGGAGGTCAACAGTGATCACTGACTGTTTTAGGAGCTTTTTGAGATCAAATAGAAGAAAATATATAACATTAAACATGTTAACAACACAAAAGCCATATTAAACGCAGACTACTTTAGACCCGGAAGTAGGATTCGTCGCGTCATCACTGAACAACTGGATATCTAAAAATGCATCATACTGCTGGCTACATTGATTGGATACTCCCATGTCTAATGTAACAAAGAAATGTGCAGCAAACAAATATTTACAATCTCGCTACTTTGCTTGTTCAATTTCATCAGCACAAACATGCAGAGTCCAGGTGTGTGTAAGATTCATAACCAGTCCGTAGTTCAGAAAAAGGGCTCAGATTGTTGACTTTTAATGATGATTAGATTACATCACTCAGTGGTACAATCAGTGTGCTTGTGAGCTGCACCTTAGCTGCGAGGCCTGCTGAAGTGGGGGTGCTGGCTGCAGGATTTACAGCACTGTGCTTGTACGTTGGGGAGGTGGCAACGGCCGAGCCATCGAAGTGTCTGACAGAAACGAAATGTCAGCCGATCGTGGAGACAGACTGTTCCTGTGTAGGTGAGAAGCAAACAGAGGTCACACACGCAAAGGTTAAATACAGACCTCATTCGGGACACACAAAGTCACATTTACTGACAATTCAACAAGCTGATATATAAGTAAGCAAGACCCCCTGAAATGACACATAGAGTGGATACAAAAGGGGATTAATAAAAGGAATCAGTAATTTTAATTTGTTCTTAAGTACAGGAGAAATAGTTTAACCTCGATTCTGAACTCAGAAGTATAAAACACGAACCAGAGCTCTTTGAGAAAGAAATGTGGAGATGAAATCAACTAGCGGCGTCGTATGATCTCGTAAATTCCTGCTTTTAAGCATCAAAAGCACAATAAGTGTATTAAGGCAACTCTTAACACTAACGTGGGACTTCAAGTAAAAACACAGCTTTATGTCTACTTAGGAAAATTAACTTTTTTTCAGCTCCAGATGTAATTATTGCCTAGCATTAGTCCGTGCTTTCGTAAGCATATTTCTAATATATTTAAAGACTGGGATCACATTTTCCACAAAACAATCGGACTTTGAGGTGTCTGAGATGTAAGCTGATAAATCCTGAAAGAATGTTAAAAAAAAACATCAGTGTTGTCAATCCAAACTAATGGTCTTTTTATGCTGGAGAAATAGTTGATCAGCGGTACTCATGTGCCCCTTTATTAACACTAATTCTAGTGCTCAGTGTTGCTGTTGCATTGTCTTCATTTGTTTTAGACAAATTAAGAGTTTCCTGTGACTGTGCTAAAGTACTTCTTGCACCAGACCCTTAGATATTCTAGACCCAGTGCATATTGTCAGAAATTCTTATTTCATCCACCAGCAAGGCACCCTTGTACCATTTCCTACATTTTGTTTCTGTCTACTCTCTATATCTATATCCTGTCCAAAAAAGGCTAAAAATGCCCCCAAAATAAAAGACTGGGATTGTTTGTGACTGAATGTGGTTAAGTTGGCAATTATATCCCATTTGCTATGTGATAAAACAGCAGTTAGCTTTGATAGAGAAACTTTCTAAATCTGCTTCCATCTACATATACAGAAATTCATCACACAAAATCCCTCCGCAGTGATGTAGCTGCTGGAGGATGGCAGGTAAATGCGTCTCTGTTTAATGACACTTTCATATAGAAATCTAGCCCGAACACAACGCTAACTAATGCCCCTATCGAGATGCAGACTGACTCAGATTGATTGCAACATTTTGACAATCTGTCTGTGTTTATAAATTAGAAGCTGAGCTCCATTTCATGTGATGACATCTGACGACTTTGTATAAGCAGGAAAAAAATAAAGATGGATCTCACACAATGGAGCTGTATTAAGCACAGAGTTAGCATGGAAAGGAAGAACATTGACCAAAAAAAAGGAATGTGTTTACCTACTTTAGCCTGTGAAGAAAGCTTTAAAGTGATAAATAGACCGGCATTTGCATAACAGATTTCTACTGCTAGTGTGCACTGAAAGCACTTTTATAATGCAAGTTACACTTGATTGTTGTGCGCACACGGTCATACCAGTGGATGCATGGGTAACATTTTTTAAGAGCATCTGAGGAGCTGAGTTTTTTCTGCCTACCCTCCTTTTTTAAACACCCACCACTGCTGAAAAAATATTAAGGAAGAGAGGGACGAAAAAAGAAAAGCAGAAAGAAAACAGCCCACACACCGCTGCTGAAATCTCCGTTTTGGTGGTTAATATCAACATTTTGGAGCAACAAAGGCAACTATTAATGGCTTAAACAGACAAAAATATTTCAGTGCTGTAGATCCTCCGCCTTTGAGCCCATCCCCTCAATCGAGATGACTACAGAGGGAAAGCAGATGTTAAAGGCAAATGTGAAAGGGGGGAAAATGGTGTTAGATAAAAATCACCATTGCTTACTCAATATATTTTTATATATCGAGGTGGCCTATCAAGATAAAAATGTTACTTTTTCTTAACAACACACTGTACTAGTCTGTACTCTAAATATGGTTATACTATTTAAACATTTTCTCTGCATAATATAAACCTAAACCCACCGCTCGAGGTTCTCAAAACTCCTCTATGTAGAATTTGCAATGTCACTCAGTTCAGTTCACAGCTGCCTCTCAGTGCACAGTATTTCCTGTTTACTGCGCCTCTCTTTCTATTCCTCTTTCTGTAAAGAATAATAAACAACAAAAGAGAAGAGTGGGACTATGGGACTCTTCAGTTATATGTATTTTTTCACGGTCTGTGAATGCAGGCTTTGGTTGGATGACAGTCTGCAGTGGATGTGTCTCTGCATCTGTGAGCTACTATCTATAAACTGTACAGACATAGATATTCTAGAAATATATTTATATTATAAAGCTAGTGACAAATAAAAAGATAAAAATGAAAATAAGAATTGAATGACCTAAAATATATAGAACTAAAACATTTCACATATAATAAATAAATGGAATAAAAGTTGGTATTTTTTTATTATTATCACTTTATTAAACAGTGAAAGTTAACAACAGTTTTGCATAATGTAGCAAAAGCAACGTTCTGAATCTGTTGGACTTTAAATGACAAACTTTCTTTCACCACTGACAAACAGCTATTTGTTTAAATTAGTTTGGGGTAATTATGTTTTTGACACTTATGGGAGAATTAGAGCCAAGCTGGGAAAAAAGATTATCTTTTAAATTTCATTTGCATATTAATTTCAGTTCTCAGTTTTCATTTATTTAGGGCTTTTTCTGTGGACTTTGTCAAGGACTCACTCTTGTTTAGCTCTGAAAGAGATGCCTGCCAAAAACAACATTATGTGACAAGTGAAAGTGAACCAGAACACTAGTTATGCCTTCAATATTGTCATTTTCTACAGTACTAGTGCAGTTGCAGTTACACTGAGATTGTGTGTGGATATTTTACATTCTCGCGGCCGCCTGACCTCCCACATCTTCTCATTACCAAACACCCGCTGAGTCTGAAGTAAATCTGATGAACGAGCGATTACAGTTCTCTCTGTAACACCACCGATGATGTCGATGTCACAGCACAAGAGATTTTGATGACGATGCCTGATTGCATTGGGCTCCCAGGAACATAAAAAATAGTTTTTATTCAAATGCCATAAAGTTTGAAACACATGAGGGAGCCGTTGTCCTACATTGTGATTTCAAATTGAAGACTTTTTTTCCTCTCACGTCAAATGAAGAAACGGAAAATGTTTCTGCTTGGTCTGTGGAGTTCAACGGCAGCTGGAGAATCGTTTCATGTTTTTGTGGCCTCCAAACTCCTCCACTGGTGAATGATATACCATTTCAGTAAAGTATGCATGCTCTCTGAGGGGCATGTGGGCTGCTAGTTTGCAGATGAAATTGAGGAGCGGACCCCACTCCCACGCCCTGCCCCATATATGGCACTTATCTATTATGTACTCCAAGTTTCGGTATTTGGATTTTAATTTTCAGTAAAATATGACAGATATTATGAAACCAAGACAGATACTTTTGCATGCAAAAAGTTATATGAAAACTTCATTAGTATCCTGCATTAACTCTGTGCTTTGGGAATGTTTGTCTGCAGACAGACGCTTAGACTGTATGTAGGTCATGCATCTGCTTGACCTCCCACTATTCTCCCTGTGGCCTTTCCCAGACAACATGCACAGACTGCAGAACTTATGTCACAATGTTGCTGTGCTGGCCTACAAAATCCCTCTGCCCTGCCCTGAAGATACAACAAACAGCAAACAGCACATGTCTACTGAAGCAACAGTCCAGCATTACTTCAAAATGAACTCGAGACTGACAGATCCCCATCCAAAGACCAGCACCCTCTTATTTACCTAACATTATAATTGTTGCTGCCGTCATAGGCAACTCTCGCATTTAAGTTCATTTTATTAGATAGTTAAGGTTAAAACAATAAGTAGGTGAAATAATAAATAAATAGTAATTCATGTTTTGTTGATTAGATTTATATGTTTAAATGTGTTATTTGTGCTAACTGTGCAATTAGGATGGAACCTTTTCTATAGTTCCGTCTGTTGTTGCAAAGAGGGCTTTTTTTTGGCTGTCACACTCAGCAAGCTAATTAAGAGAAGAGCCGCGAGGTTTGCACGTCTACAGAAAGTTATAAGAGAGTGCTTTTTTGGAACTCCCCACGATGTAAAGATGAAAGTTTATTCCCTTTGAGTAGGGCTGAACGATTATGGAAAATAATCTAATTGCGATTTTTTGCCCCAATATTGCGATTGCGATGCGATATGCGATTATTTTTTAAGGTCTTTGTCTTCTGTATTATTAAACAAAGACAAGCAATACATCATATAGTATGGCCAATACTATATTACATTAATTTTAAACTGTTCTTTCCTGGAAGACAGACCTCTGTTATGATGACATGAGGTGATGCATGAATTGATGACTGACATTTTTATTTAACTTCTTCAATCACAACAGTATATTTGAACATACACAATAGTTTATTTTTAGCTTACAAACATCTGAGCATAAAGTGCTGACAAGGAACCCTGGTGTAAACATTAAAATGAAAGTCAGTACAATGTGCAGATTGCAGAAATATACATAAAAAAAAATCAGTGGCTTTACCACACTCAGTTTTTCGACATCTGTGAACTACTAGACAGTCATTAAATTAAAAAATAATATTAAATAAATAAAACTAATAAATAAAAAATACACACATCTTACTGATCTCTGCAGTCAGTAACATTACACATAAAGTGCAAACATAATAGCAATTGTATAAACACACACACAAACACGCCTTTAAAGTTTAAAGGCGTGAAATTGGACGGTCTAGCCTTCTGAATCAGAAGGCTAGTTCTGATTAGCGTCACCGCTGTCTCGGTGGAGTTTAATAAACTCGGCCGTCTGCTTCTTGCTATCTAAAATATAACCAGACACTGGTGTAAATTCTCGACTGTCTCATACTTCTGTTTAATAAGTTTTCTGTTTGACGTTTAGTCAGCTGTGTGAAAACCAAGGAGGAACCCACCCGGGGGATTAATAAAG